TTCCTTAATTCTCCTCTGAGCTGCAAAATGGCTGCAGCCTGCCATCAGGGCTTCCTCTTTAGGACCAGCAAGGGGAGGAGAGGAAGAACTGGTGTCCCCAGCCAGTGACCAGAGATGGGCACTCCAATACAACATACTACAAATGCCCTGCACTGATTGGCTGCTAAACCAATCATTGCAAAAGGGATAAAAAATTGCTTGGTTGTTTTCAACCAATTAGAATCTCTCATTGGAGCTGGTGATGCAACCAATCACAGCAAAACCAAAAGTTGCTACACCTAAGGGGCGGAAAGACTGTCTCCTGGGAAACTAACACCAAGTCCATGATGCCTCTGCTCCCATTCAGCCTCTCCAGGCCTCTGTTTTCTCATCTACAAAGTGAGGATTACCTCGGTATTCTCTTCGCTGGCTATGCTAGAAATTAGGAATAAGATAAAGATGAGAAGGAGCCTTGCTCTTGGCCAGACACACTGTAAATACTCCACAAAGCTTATGAGGGAGAAGATAAATTAAAATTGGTATCCATTGTGTTTGGACATTGCATTCTCTCATGGATCTTCCTTCCTAGTCCTGGTAGATGCAAGTTTAACAGCTATAAATGGATGACAGAGACAGTTCAGTAGACCATTTATATACTGATTTATCTGGACATCATTTAGGTGAAGAAACTCAAACTAGTCCATTCTAAAGCATGCACAGTGTCTCTTGAGTAGTGACTTTGAGAACAATAATACAAAAAAGACAAAGACAACAGGAGTAGTCACAATTTATTGAGCACTTCTAAGTGTTACACTACTCACTTTGCATGAGTTGTGAGCCCTTAGCTGTGATTTTTTTTGTATCTATTTGTGCATAAGAAATGAAAACTTACAGAAGGTAAGGAGTTTGCCTGAAATCAATAGCCTGGATGTGAATCTAAATGAATTTGACTCCTAAGTTCATTTCATATTCTTTTTAGCAAAACTACTTGCAAAGGAGGATGACCCCACTCACTCATTCTCTCATTCATTTATTTATTCCTTCCCTCTCTCTTCTCAGCAGACAGTCCCCAAACCCCTGTCATGGTGGGTGTTTGGGGGGCAGGGGGAAGAGATGAATGACACCACAAACCCTTTAAGAAGGAAACAGGATCCAAGTCATGGGATTCCAGACTTATTTGGGGAGTTCCCCAGGGCAAGGTTGTGTGGGGCAAGGCCCCTGGCACCCTTTCTCAGCACCCTTTTTCAGTCAAATGAGTACTGTTGAATCACTAATGATGATGGAGGCCTGGCAGCTTTGGGCACAGCTTGCTCCAAGGCCTGCAAGACACAGAGGGCTGCTCTCTACCCCCAGCTCCCTCTGCCATCTGCTCTCCTCAATGAGACAGTTTAATCTTCAGCTATCTCAGGGCAAAGGAAGGCGGGACATCAGAGGTCACCTTAACTCTCCATGACTCTGTCGCAAAGAAATAATTGTTTCAGAGGAAAGTAGCTGTGACCAGTCTGATTCCTCCTTATTCACAGTGTAGATGGAGACAACAGCTCTTGAGGACTTATATTGTTGATTCTGTTCTTCATCCAACTGTGTTGCAAGGGTCTGTGTCCTGGGGATTGTTCTGAGTCCCCAGGACATGCAAATGGGTCAGCATCACAACGCCTCAGAACTCTGAGGTCCCCAGGTTGGTCCAGCATACAGATGCACATAAGACATACTATATATTGGAATAAATTAATTGTGTGTGTCCCTATCTGACTGATCAACTTGTTAAAATTTATGTTAATTTTGGAAAATAAGTTCAAACTAGTTGGAAGATTCTCGTCCTGACTGCCCATGCATCTGCCCCACAGTGTCCATCTGCTCCCCTCTCTGCCCTGACCCCTCCTCAAGGACCCTTTCCCCCCTCAAAACCCTCAACTGCCTTATGATGTTGAAGAAGGCTAAAAGTGGCCTCCAACCCCTTGCCCCAGCACTATAGTGGGCCTTGTTTTGATTGACCATAACAGTTAAGTATTTTAAGTGTCATCACTGAATCAAGGCATGTACCTCATGCTTCCTGGGAGTACCACAATGGAAAGAAACATCAAGACCAACTAAGGGAGAATATCCACAAGGGCACACATTGGCTGAACATCTGTTGACTCCTTGGATCTAAGATCATCCCTCAGTCATGCTCCCCAGGGAACCCCAAAAGTCTTCCCCCTTTACTCCCATCCTGCAGTCACCCTGTTCTAAGTCCCAAGGCAGCTACTTATGCCTTGAGTCAGCTCACAGGGCCAGATGTGGGTCATAAATATGGGGCTACAAGAAGCTGGGGCCTGCATGCTGGGAATCAGCTTCAGCAACTTCTGAACTTTTTCTTTGGTTATTGTAGGAATAAAGGATTCAAGAAGCTGGATCCTTTAATTACTAAAGATTGGCACTCTACCCACTGGGATACTTTTGTTACTGATGATGGATTAGAATTTTATCCGTTAGGATGCTTTTGGCCCTTAGTTAAAGGAAATAAAAATGACTAAGCAAAAGAGGACATTCAAAAGAACAGAACGGACCCCATGCATGGTTCTATCTGAGGACCGGTGTTTCTCCCATGTCTGTGTTCTGCCCTCCTGAGTTTGCTTCAGCCTCACATCCCCTCATTGTGGCATCATGGTGGGCAGCATACAAAATCAGAGACTTCCAGTGTTTCTGTTCTCTGAAAGAGGACACTTTCCCCCAGTTCTCCAGTTGGCTCCCCTTGGTCAGAAATAGCTTGTGTTCACTCCTGCTCAATGGCTGATGAAGAGGCTGCAGCCATCATTGCTGACTTTTCAATCAAGATTTGCCCCTAGAGTTGGGATCCCTATTCTTTTGCTAGCAAAGGAAAATCAGTGGGCGGACAGCAATGTCTGCTATAGGAACCTACTAAAAAGCGAAAGGTGGAATTGGAGAAGACAGTGTTGATAAGTGAGATCGGTAACAGAGGAGTGTGCCACTACAGATGAGAGGTTGAAAAGCAAAGATAAGGCTTTGGAATAAAGAAAGCTGATTTGCAATGTTAGTATTACCTGGGTCATTGGTTCAATTATGTAACAAAAACTAAAACCAAAAAAATCAAAAACTTGGTGCTTAAAACAGCAGTTATTTATTATTGCTTACAGATCAATAGATCAACTTGGTGGCTTTGCTAATCTGGGCCAGGCTCTCCTGAGCTCATTTGGACCTTCTCAAGTGTCTGCAGGACACTGCCAATCTAGGAGGGTCTCTGTGGGGCTAGTACCTCTCTGGTTCCCTGGTCTCTCATTCCTGGTTTGTTCACCCATCATCCTGACAGGGTTCCAAGAGAAAGAGTAGGAGGTCTAGGCTTAGTGCTGGGACTCTGACAGCAAGGCCTCACTCTGCTGGCCAAAAGCAAGTCTTGAGACCAGCAAGAAGCTGCAAAATCACTTTGCAGAGTGTGGATAATGGGAAGAGTGAAGGATTGTGGAGACTTTGGCATCCAATCTACTACCTCAACCTTTGCATATATTTCTCTTCTCTATACCACAACTTCATCACCTCTAAAATGAAGCTACTAGTAGTACCTACCTCAACATCTTGTTTGAGGATTAAAAGAACGTGCAGGTAAAGTTGCTAATACAGTGGTGGGCACCCAGTGCCCTACTCTGCATGTGTTATGATTATAGCTAGTACCATGATTACCATTATTATAGCTGTTGCAATGATTATTATGATTTTGCGTATCTATCTGCTGGGCTACGACTCCCCTCTGATACAAGTCTGGGGAGTTGTTTCCCAAAAACCTAGACTTCAAGGCAACCCTAGCTGGCTCTCCGGAAACCTGCCAATCATTGGAGGCTCCCCTTCTCCCTGCCTATGGTTGTTGAGTGAGCGCTGTTCTCTTGGGGTTTTGCTGTGCTGGCTGCTTGGTGCTCCCTCAGCTGAATCCCTCATTGGGAATCCTCCGAGGAACTGTGGTTCACTGTAATTTGAGCACAAACCGTTAGTTTGGGCCAGGGTGCTTCCCGAGAGGGGAGCAGGTCTCACTCGGGCCATGACTGATTTTCTGCCCCTATCTGCTGCTGCATCTGTGCCAAGTGGTGAACTGTCGAAAAGCTATAACATAGTCCATGGGGTGCCCGGGAGCTGGGAGTATGGGAAGGAAGCAACACACCTCACTTCACACCTACTTCAACACCTGCCTCCAAGAATTATGATCAGTTGGCAATTTCCTCAAAAAAGAAGGTTGTCTTTTAAATCCACAGAAGGAAAAAGGCTGATTCTCATTGTTGTTTATGGTTGTTTTGTTCATGACCCAAAAACCTCGCAGAGATGGTCCTGGCGTTGCTACCCCATGCAGACTGAATGCAGGCAGGAGGGAAGGCAGGAGCTCTTTCCGTGAGGCAGCCTGCTCATTTCATTTGCCACCATGGCTTTGCCATCTGCTAAGGGACAGGCAGAGAAAAGTTTCCATGTATAATTCACAGCCCTTTGTAATTTAGGCTCAAACAGAATCAACAGCTTGATGGAGACTTCACTGCGAAGGTCCAAACAATGATGTCTCCACGTCTGTCCTTGCTCAGAGCCAGAGCTGCCCTGTGCCTCTGAGCGCTTATATGTCTGTCAGGCTGTCCAAGGCGCCGTTGGACCTTGTCTCCCCACCTTGTCTCTCTGCTCCTCACATTTTTTCTTTGTCCTTACTATTTATCAAGCACTGTATTCCCACCTTGTAAATGTGCCCCTTTAGCTAGCAATCTGCCATAGAAGCTTCCTCAGTGACCATTGTCTGCTGGAGAGCTAATTGTGGGCCCTCCCCCTTCATCTAGCCAGGGCTCAGATGGATGCCCAATTTGCATTATTTATGTCTTCTCTCTGTGTTCCAGTGATGTGCTTTTGCATAGCATATGTAAAATTCTGCTGACATGGAGAATTCATTTGGCTTGAGATGCTCAAAAAGAAGGCGGGTGCAGACCTGGTTTGTGTAAATTCAAGAGCTATCAGACAGCTTTGCTCTTTCTTTTTTTTCTCTCAGAATTGGAAGATGGCTCCTCATGAGACTTCTTTGGATAATGCTTGACCCTGAGGTGAGTTCTTTCACTTAAGGAACTTTGGTTCCATTTGAGCACTGAGTCTCCTGCTTTCCAATGGGTGGGGCAGGGGACGAGGGCTAGGGGCCTTTTTCAAGTTCAAATGCAAACCTGTCACTGCAGTTGCAAGGACAGCCAGAGACTATTAGCTCCCAGACACCTTCGAGCACCTGACTTAATCTCTCCAGAAGAAGAAACTGAGACTCAGAAACATGAACTAGTTTGCTCAGGTCAGAGAATGGTACATCATTCTCCCTGTGATAAAATCACTTCTCTACAAAAGGGCAGACACCTTTCTAATCACTTTACATGTGATCTCATTCAATCCTCATTAAAGACTCATACATGATAACAAACAACACTAAGACTTGTTGCTTTCATCCTCATTTCATCAATGAGTAGAGAGGCAGCAACACAGAGGGCTGTGCGGCCACACTGCCCACGTGCAGCAGAGCGGACCCAGGCCCAGGAGCACCAGAGATGGCAGGAGATGCATCTTCTGCTCCCTCAGTCTCCTCTTGCTCTTAAATAAACATTGTACCCCTTGAGTCTAGTGCCTGCATCTTGCCTGTTGGCAGAGACCTAGGATGGTGCACTAGTCTCTCCCTGGGGGCACCACCTGCATTTAACCCTAGCCACAAACATAGTATAATCTCTCAGACTGACCACCCATGAACAGCCACACACCTGGTGAATTGGGGACTATTTTTGGTTGCTCATCTGTATTCACCTTTCTTTGGGTACAACTCTAATATTCTTCTAAGGAGAAGGTGTGTGACTTGGGCTTGGCAGGGTAGAGCACGCATTCAGTTTAGAACTGAGCGTGTGGTCTGACCAGAGCCCTGGGCTGGAAAATTACTTTTACTGTTATGAGTGAAGTAAGAGGTAAGGACTTGGAGCAGAAATTATGGGCAATCATCCTGTCCCCATGGAACCTCAGAATGGGGCAGGATTGGAGCCAAGAGGTGAAAAAAAATGGAGTCTTAACACTGTCTTAACTTCTAGTGTGAGCTATGCTGGGATCATTAAGTTCTACAGCCCATTTATTTCCTTTTTGCTTAAGTGACCTGGGTCGGCTTCTCAATAATGCAATGAAAACTCCTGAGTACTTGGGCTTCATCAGACCCACGTATTTGTCTCCCAATGTTGCCATGCTGTCTCAAGAGATTGCAGCCATTTTAGTTCCCTTCTTCAGTCTCACTTTATCTTGACTCTCCTACAACATTGAAGCAAGGGCTCCATACAGATGCCTCCTCTGTCAAATATTTCAAATATTTTGAGTTAGATATTTTGAAATTACAATTGATAAACCACCTTTTGTGACATATAACAGCATATAATTATGTAAGACATACATCGCAACATATAACTCTCTATATGTACATAATATATATATTAGTGTGTCATATTAGGAGACAATAGTGATTTTAGTAAGGAACCTCCTAGAAGACAGAACTTAAGTGATATATATGTTATGTATTTTATATGCATTATTCTGACATACTTAAAAAATCACATTATGCGATATGTAGTAAATATCTAACTTTAGACCATTTGCATATTTCTAAGTGCAGGTTCATGAACAAGATTTCATGTACCTAGAGAAACAAAGGCAGTGATACCAAGTGTGTGTGTGTGTGTGTGTGTGTGTGTGTGTGTGAGAGAGAGAGAGAGAGAGAGAGAGGGAGATTATAAATTTATGAAATGCCCATTTGGGAGAAAAATGTCATTTATTCAAAGATGATCGGTTCTTGACCTATCAAGAGGAAAGGGTAAGACGTGTCCTTTTATGAAATAACAGCATTTGCTTTATTGGAAAGATCTTAGGATATTATGTTTCATCTTTTCAATATGTTGTCATTTTACTAGAGTGTTTATTGTGCTTAATTAGCCCATTCAAAAGCTAAGCAACCTCTCACGTGCCTCACTGAGATGATTCATGTCCCAAACCCTCTAGTTCCAAACATCTGCCCAGAGCTGGTGGGGCCCAACACAACCAGACTGCAGAGCTGACCTCTGTTTCTTGAGCTGCCTCTCCCTCAGGTTCCTGCCTCACCGTGGGGACCCTCAAGCTTAACTCATGATGACCCAGTACTGACATGGTTCCACCAGAAGTGGTCTGTACCCCAAATTACCTCCACTTTTCCATTCCTCAGTCCTGGGTCTCACCACAGACTCTTCCCATTTCCTTTTATTTCTCCCACTCCCTTTGTAAACTCTACCTCCCTTTCCACTCTGCATTCTTTATCGTCCTCTTTCAACAAAACATTTTATCCAAACAGTTGAAAAATATATTTGCTTTGTACATCCACACATGGATATTCTCTGCAGATTCTAGGATCCCTCATGCAATTGGGGAAATGGAGTTTTAAATTTTTATAAGGAGGAACTAGCAGGAGATCTAGGACTCTTGGCTAGTACAAAACCTAGCCTGATTAAAACAGCAATCTTCAAATGTTCTCTTAAAAACTTAGGGAATGTCCACCTCTAATTCCAAACATGTCCACCTCTAGTTCAAAACATCGAAGACCCAAAGAGAAGGTAAAATGTGTGAAGGAAGGAATAAGAAGGAAAAATCATGACTTGCAGAATCTATAGAAATAGAATACTGTCAAATTATTGTCCCGGAAATGTCTTTACTCATTTTAAAGAGTTTGGGTTACACCATCTGTGAGAATTAATGGTTGACTGGAGAAACAAGTGCCTTTAGGACAACAGACATGCTAAAATTCACACCAAGAGATTAGAGTAGATGAGAAACACCACTGGGGTGGGATTTATTTGATCCTGCCCCCCCCATTACTACCCTTCTATGAGACTTGGGATGGCAATGGCCACTGCTTTGAAGGTCCTCTCCTGCTTCTTTTCTTTTTCCACACTAAAGGAAATAGAAGCAGAATAGGAGATCCTACCTCAATCCCCACTTCTGTAGCAGGCCAGGAGGCCCAATTAGGAAGTCATAGTTATCCCAAATGTCAGCCTCTGTTTCCCTCAGCCAATAAAAGAAAACAGAGTTTGAGGAAAAGGAAAGTAGTTTAATTTGTTAACAAACTGAGGACGTCAGCAGACTCATATCTAAAAGACCATCATCCTGCTCTTTGGCACAGTGCAGGAGTATTTATACAAATGAGTGAAAATAAGGGGGGTGGGAGAGATGGACAAGGGTCTACAAAGGGGAGATAGGAAGGGTCCTGCACATCCTTCTGATGCAGGCATATGGAGATTTCGGGTGGCTGCCAGCTTGCTTTGTTAACACCTGCTGTTTAACTTCCTTATTATCTTCTTAGGGATGTCCTTCCTTTTCCTTAGAATGCAAGAAGACAAACTTGTTAAATAAACAAACTTGTTAGGGATACTTATCTGGTGGGGCAGAAAGAGAGCCCTGTCACTGCATCAATACCTGCTTCCACACTCTTTCTGAGTCCTCCTACCCTCTGCAGGCACCTCCATCAGATAGGTTTTTATCTGATCAGATGCCCAAACCTTCGATCCAGGATGATCTGAGTGCTTGATGGCTGTGACTTTATTGGGGCACCTCAGCTTTCCATTTCCAGGGATCATTAGACAAGGAAGCACTAAGATGCACCCCAGTGAATTTCTGAGGCTCAACGGCATCCTCTTGCCCATCGTCTGGCTGAATTCTGTTCGGCATCGTTATCGCCCATCCTTTCATATGAAAACACTGACTTATCCATCGATGTAGGTTGGATTGAAAAGTACACACTCACAAAAATTTGAAGGTTAAGAAAGGCACACAAATAAAATATTATTGCCTAAAAATAAAACATTATTGCCAAAAAGCTAAATTTGAAACTGATCAAATTTCTAAATTTAGCTAATAATTTACAAAAAAATGAACCTGTTATCTTTAATAAATAGGTGGGAGGGAAGGCAAGTCATTCTTCCAAAAGCAGAATTATATTCTTAATTGAAACAACTTTTTGATTCAAAAACTTTGACCTTCATAACGAGGTCCATATCAGAAAATAGATGCTTATTATTGGTAGAAAACAAACTCAAATAGGAACTGCTCTGAAGAGATAGCAGTGTTCCCAGTCTATCAGGTGCACCCCTCGACTTTGCCGGTGCTCCTCAGGTTGTGTGTACCCGGAGGGCTGATGCAGGTGTGATTTACCTGAAGCAGCCTGACCAGCTCTATTGCACAGAGTCAGCTATATTTTGGGGGACTCAAGAGATGACATTAATATTACCCATATTTATCATAGAGAGGAGACAGAGTCTCAAGCTGCAATTGTGGATTCAGACATGACCATGTGCTAGTTTCTGATATATTTGTGCATCCCAGCAAGCTTTTTTTTTTTTTTAAAGAAACTTTTAGCTCTGTTACATAGTTATATCCACTGCCTTCCTTAACCCACGCGTACTCATTTGCACATTTTTTTTTTACAAACTTCAGTGTGATTCTTCCATAAAACCATTCCTTCTTTGTTCAGAGACACATCCCTTATGGGGCAGGCATGAGAGATGAGAGATGGGATGAGAAACTCATCCCCTTGGTGAACAGGGCCCAACTCTGCTGGGGTGGATTGGCAGGATGCAGTCTGAAATGAGTTTTTCATTTGTATTTTGTTTTGTTTTCAGTAATCAGAGAACATTCCCCTGCCCTTTCTTGGTGATTACTTAAAAAAGCAAGAAGAGATCTGGTTCACTGTTCTCAGAAACTGACTCTAGGCATTATAAACTCCAGGGATTTCTAGCCATCTTTATTTACTCTCTCATTCAAAAAACAATGCTGTTGACCACTTACGGCATACATAGTCCTGGATTAACCATTAGGCACAATGTTTGTATTTCCTAGTTTCCAAGACACTCATTTTCAACATCATAATATCTCTGAATTTGGGTTGTTTCCATGGCAAATTTTTTTTCTTTCTTAGTGGCACCAAAAATAATTCTGCATATTACAACCAGTGGCCTTTTACATTTGATGGAATGCTATATTATCCATGACTACTCTGCTTCCACCAAAAGATTAACTGTGCAAAATAAGGGGAAGAAAGGCTCACAAACCAGTAAGTTTTTAACATATGTTTTTAACAGCTTTTGGAACAAAAGAAGTCTTGGGACTGTGTGGTTTGAAGATATTTTGTGTTTCATTTATTCATATTCTCTCTGGTCTTAGAAACATAACTGAGTATGGGCTATCTGTTGCTTTTTTTCATTTCTTAAATTCACAAGTTACTTTTATAATGCCGTGGAGTGAGTGTGTGCGGTGCTTTCTACTGAAAAACTCATATGGTAATTGACTTTTGATCTGTCCTGAAAGCCTTCATTTGAGAAGACTTTCATAGGAGATAGTTGTATCATCAGTGGCAACTACTTATTTTTGTATTATTTTTAATCAAGCAAAATAAAACTTTTTTGTTTTTTCTCTTGATTCATTCAAACATTTCTCGAGCCCCTAGGATGGATCAAACACTGCAAAGTGCCATTAAAAGACAGTCATATGGAATATTACTTTTATCTTTAGAGAATTTACCATCTAAAGGGGGAGGAAATCTGTTGCCACTGATGTTCACATAAGGAAGAATAAAATGAGTTATGTAACCAAGATCCAAAGATATCTAAAGGAGCTCTGCATTACTCCACAACATGATTCTTGACCTTCAAATATAACAAAACAAAAGCTCGTCTCCCTTTTCTCTGACTTGTGGTGCAGCAAAGATTAAGACCCCAGGCAGAGCTCAGAGCAATGTCCCAAATCTGCCTTTATGGCTGATGTAAAGAGAAAACTCCCATCTACTTTGAACACTTCACAGTCAGCCAAATTTTCCATACCTCAGATAACTGGTATGGTTTGCTTTCTACTCAATGGTAGGTCCTACTCACAATCTGTTTACTCCCCTATTCTCATTCCATGATGTTTGGTCCATTTTCTTCCCTGCTCAGCCTCTCTCTGGTCTTTCTCAGCCCATTGAATCACTTTCAGAGTCCTCCATCCTAATCTCATAAAATACTCCTCCCTTTTTATTGAACTATAAGCCCTTTGAGGACAGGAAGCAAGTGTGTGTGACATGGAGTAGACACTAAAGATAATGAAGGGAAGACATTTCTTCTTGAATATGTGAGTTTAATAGGAGGGACATTTTCCATCACAGAGTAGTAAATTGTATCTTGGAATGCTGATAAATTCAACTCTGGGTTTCCCCTTCTAGAGATAACAGAGCAGTGAATTTCAACTGAATTTTTTTGTCCCAGTATAAGTGATGGTTGATCTTCACGTCAATGGCAGATTGTGGGGACTGGGCAATTTACTTGGAATTCCTGGAGCATTGACATCCCAACCACCTCTTCTCTCCCACCTGATGTGCAAGTGATTCAAAGTGAAGATATTAAAGGGATGATATTGAATCTTCTCTCCTGGGGAAGATTGGAGGAGTGGGAGTAAAGCACCTGCAAATTTTGCTGTTTTATTTTTAGTAATACCTCCAGTTTGTGGGTACCCCAACAGCAGTACTAGCCTCCTCTGCTCAAAATGGTCTTGCTTTCTTCTTTTAACTCATAAAATACCCATAAGGCCAATAAACAAAAGAAAAAGTAGAAACAGTATCAATTTAAAAAGAAAGGCACCCATTCCAAATATGGCCATCTCACTGAAAACTAAACCTACAAACAAAAATCTAATTTCTAGTATGCTCAGGTTTACACTGCCTAATTTTCATACCATCAGTCCTGGGGCTTGAACCTTTAATAATTTGGGTAAAATGAACTGGCCCATCACCTTTTCCCAATGATGTAGAGGTGGCAGTTTTCCGACACTTCCCACTCAATACATCCCTTACTCTATCGCATACGTTGGCAGTCACTATAGATGGAGTTGTCAGATTTGGCAAATAAAGGTAGAGGACGCTGGGCTAAATTTGAATTTCAGATAAATTCAGCTAAATTTGAATTCAGCTAAATTTGAATTTCAAACAATTTTATACTATATGTATGACCCAAATTTTGAATGTGCATATATATTCTAAAAGTTATTTGTTGCATATTGGAAATTTTAATTGAACTGATTGTTTATATTTTACCTAGCAATCTTGTCACTAGAAACCTTTGCTTGGGAGTCATTGAGCTATTTCTTCAGATCAAAGAGCTTTGAATTCTTAAGTATCTAATCATGATAACAGTTCAAGTATCGGGGAGTCTATCGAAAGAGAAGGATTTAGGGACTTCTTAGTATCTCAGAAATCACAACAGAGCCAGAGGCCCAACTTGCCTAAAGAAAGGAGAATGGTTGTGTTTTGTACTGTTATTATTTTTTTGGACTGATATCTTATTTGTTTCCCCTATATTCCTGCTACAGGTGAATAATGGTACAAATCACAACAAAGCAAAAACAGACAATTATAAACCAGAGACATCCTGCAGGGGAGGAGGAGGGAGAGGGATCAGAGGGAGGGAGGGAGGAGCACAGAGGACTGAGGTGACTGTGCACGGGTGCATTGGGGAAGGGAACCCTATGGGGACTACACCTGAGGGGGAGGAGGGAAGCAAATATTGTTTAAAAATGAACAGTGATGTAAAAAATTTTAAAAATTAATAAAAAGGAAGGAAGGAAGGAAGGAAGGGAAGAAGGGAGGATGGGAGGAAGAGAGGGAGGGAGGGAGGGTGGGAGGGAGGGAGACTGGCCAGAGTTACATAAGAAAGAAGGGAAGCAGTGGACACCAAAGGAAAAAAATCAAAGGGAAGCAGACATCTTCCTGGAGCCACCTGGGATACAGCATGCTAGGGCTCAGCCCAGTCCTGTCTCCTCTTCCCTAGTCCTCCAGGAAAGCAGAGATGAATTCCAAAGTTCAGAGCTTTGGAATTCACAATAATGACACAGGAATCCAACTGATTATCAGCTTCCTTCCTTTAGCTTCTCAGACCATTTGACACAGTCCTCGTAAAGGTGAGGCAAATACTTACAGGTGGAAATGGCCATAGGTGCCTTGATAAGCTCAAAGAAACAGTTAAATTTGTGTGTGGATCATTTAATCACAGTATCTGGAACATATAAACATGGTGCATATTATCTCCCTCCCCTCTCTTTATTTTGTGGCCTCAAAATTTGATCCAAGCCTGGGAGTTAAAAAGTCCCATTTTGTGTAATCAGGTTCTGGTTGAACATGATTGCTGAATTATTTTAAATTGAATACACATGTCTGGAGCTGAGCTGTATGTATTATTTGAAGATGGTGTCCATTAGGTCTTATCCACAGGGGCAATCTTCAACTTTTGCCACATTCAATGCATTCTTTATACATCAGTATTTGCAAAATGGTGAATCATATATAAGGAAAAATTGGAGGGAATATGGTACTCGTTAGAGGGTGATTTTTTGAAATTATCTTCAATGCATTATTCAGACCTGTTTCTACTCTCCCCTGCTAAGGGCCTGAGAGTTGGTTGGAAATTTTCTGGGGAAAAAAAGAAAATATATCAAAGACAATAACAATGCCCAAATAAATAAAGCCCTGTGGTTGTGCAAGACCCTTTTGCAAGGCTAAGACAAAGTCTTTGAAAATTTTACAACTGAATCAATAGTTACTTTAACTCCTTGTCAGCCCTAAGCACTTTAAGTGTCTTAATTGCAGATCTAAATTGTTGCTGCTGCCATGGGCTTTTCCTTTTGAATGCATTTGTCCCTGAACTGAGCTTTTGTCAGACTTCACCTCACAAGGGCAGCCAGTTGTTTTCGTAAATTGTTGCATCATGTCAAGGGCTCTAGGCCTGGCTTGAAGGTGTCTGGCTCTCCAGGAGGAGGGGTTAGGTTGAGTGAAACTCCAAGGCTGAATCGACCCAATGGCCCAACCCTGCCTGACATCACTCAGTGACCGAGATGTCCCCATGCTTGGGGCTAGGGTGGCCATTTTGTGGTTGTTGGCTTTAGCAGATTTATTGAGGTAATAATTAATGTTCCACAAATTCACTTGTTTGAAGTATCCGATCAATGATTTTTAGTAAATTCATGGAGTTTGGCAGTCATCACCATAATCTAATTTTTAAAAATTCCATCACCCCCCACCCCCAAAAACTGATGCCATTGGTCAGCACTTCTCATCCTCAATCACCAATCACTACTTTTTGTCCCCACACACTTCCTTTTCTGGACATTTCGTATAAATGGAATCATACCATACATGGTCCTTTTCACTGTCTAGCTTCTTTCACTTGCCATAACTTTCTGAGGTCCATTCACATTTCAGCACGTGTGCATCGTTTTTACTGCTGAATAATACTTCGTGCTATAGATATACCACACTGTGTTTGCCCAATCATAGCTGACAGACATTTATTTGAGTTGCTTCTACTTGGAGGTCATGAAAGTGCAACAGTGAGCAGTCATGAACAAATAGGCATTTGAAAATGAATTTTTAAATGGATTGTTTGTGTCACTCACAGTAAACTGTCAAAAGTGTTTGTGTCACAGTAAACTGAAAAAGTAAACTGATGTTACTTATGTTACTTTTTTTTTTTAAAGCAACCATCCATGCTCTTAAAACTGTGCCTTTTGGAATATTCCAAAATAAAGTAGGCTCCTGAGTGCTTCGAGAAATAGTATTTATCAGAGTGAGCAGTTTAGTGAGTCCAAAGCAGGTTAAGAATAAGGAAGGAGAGCCTCCTATGGTGGCGTAGCGGTTGAGTGCAGGGCTGCAAAGCTGCCCACAGCCTCTGGAGTGCCGGCCCGATCCCCGGCCACCGGCAAGGGGCCCACTTAGCGTGCAGACCTCTCCTGCCATGCCCTCTGCTCCCCTCAGCAGTGTACTTCGTCAGTCTGCCTGTTCTGTTCCCTGCTCTGGCTCTGGTGAATTCTCTCACCCTCCCGCACGTCTGACTATACCCAGTGCTTGTATAAACAAATAAATCTTTAAAAAAAGGAATAAATAAATAAATACATACATACATAAATACATAAAAATAAATAATGAAGAATGATGCAAAAATAATATAAAATAAAATAAAAAGAATAAGGAAGGAGACACTTGGAAGTTTCAAGACTAAAGGCAATCATAGCAGCAGCTCCGCTCTTCTGTGCCAGTCATACTGGAGTTTAAAGAGCAGGACCCACACATGCTGGCCACGCAGGGATTCTGCCCCGCAGCCGCCACGCACTGCCAGGTTTCTCAAAGCCCTGCTGACTTGAATAAAATGGAGGCTATTCAGGAAGAAGTCAAGTTGAAAGTGGCAGGGAGGTGAACAGGTCATAACACGGGAACAGAGTTGTCAGACTTTGTTTATTTTCCTGCCTTCTAAGACTTCAGCGACTGATAGGAGATGCTAGCAATCCTGTCACTGAGGCACAATAGTTCTGTACCTTGGGGAAGCTGCTGTATCCAAAGCACCCTTGCGCATTACCTCCAAATCACCATCTAGAGCCATGGAAAAACCCATGTCATGAGGAAATCTTTCCCCATCAGTCTTCAGAGAAAGCAGGAATATAAGACAAGGTGGTTTTTAGGCCACTGATCAAAGGTAGAGCCCAGCCTTCTCGACCTGGTGTGTCTATAACGTGGCCTGGGCAGGTCCTAATCTCTTGGGGCCTTGGTAGCTTGTGAAGTGAGGCAAGTTGACATTGTGATTCATGCGTAAGATTTTTTTCTACATCTATTATTCTGTTTTTCCTACAATTTTGAAAACATCTACTTTTGAAACCAACATTTAAAAGTTACACCAGTATCACCATCCTGCTAGCAATCAACTTACTGATGTCAAGAGACATGCTCTGGAACGCCAACTGGTGAATAATTAGCATTTGGAACACAATTTTTTAAAATGCCACACAGAGTCCCAGTGGCACCCCAACCCGATTTCGTAGATAAGAAAATTGTTGTTGATTTTTCAACATATTCTCTTGCAAGTCGTTTAGCTTCTTTGAGTCAGAGTTGGGAATTGAACCAACATTTTAGGGCTTCCAGACCTTTATTGTATCAATTAATCCAGATTGCCTGGGCGCAAAGAAAATAACTATTCAAGAGCCTGTATAAAACAATCTACCATTTAAAACAAAAACAAAAACTCTGACGCACTGGCCAAAAAAAAAGCTGCTTTTCCTGTTTGTTTGGTTGTTTTTTTTTTTCTCCCTTAGGTTCTTTTTAGAATGGTCGGATCTTGCTGGAGAAAAGGGTTGGAGGTTGGTTTAAGTTAGACAATAGTTAGTAAAACTTTATCCTCCCCCAAATTAAAAAACACTCCCTGTTGAGAAGGATGCTAATATGACTCCTGCTCCCTTTTCCTGGATTGCCCATGTTCTCTCATGCATGTGTGGAGCAACCAGCCTCCAGGCTGACAGCAGCTCCTGAAGCTTTTACACTGCTTTCCTCAGGACTTTGAGCTCATTGCTAAATGGCAGCTAGTAGTCTTCATGCACCTCCCCATGGCAAGAACCAGCCATGGAGCTCAGAGATGCCTGATCCATTCAACTCCACACGGAGCATTCCAGAGCCCTGGCATCTTGACTATTCTCCAAAGTCAGTGACCAGCCTGGTAGTGAAAGAAATCTGGGGACAGATGGTATGAAATTGAAATCACATCCTCACTACCCTCTCCCAAATGCTGGCCTGTTATTTTGGCGAATCTCCACAGAGCTCCATGGCACTCGTGCTGGTCTGATGGAGGTCTGCATCTTAAACGTGGATGCCTGAACATCAGGGCTGATAGAAAGGTGGCACATTAAGGAGGAAATTGCATTAATGTCGTGTGGTCCCTCCACAACAATCAGAACCACATGTGCGCTTGAAGAAGTCCACATGCTGTCAGACAAATGAGGAGGTCTCTCCTCCCTTACAGACCCATCTGTTGTTGAAAAATAACCCCACATTAGTGAAAAGTCAGTCTGTGTTGGAAAGGGAGCCAAATCCTTGGGATAAAACTGGATGCTGAGGTTCTATTTTCTGATTTTCATCTCTGAATTTAGCTGAAGAGTCTAAATAGAGAAAGGCATCTGAAGCAAGTCCATCATGAGCAGATTCTGATATTCTCTTTTGATTTTCTGACATCTCTTTGCTTCACCTCTTCCAAATGTAATATAGAAATGGTCAGAGTTCACATTTCAAACCCAACATTGAATCGAGCTGTATTCTTAGCCACCTCTGAAGGCACTGGATGGGGAGTAAAGAATAATGATGGGAGAAGCGTTCCCTGGTGCAGCCTGGTTTTACAGCTAAACCAATGTGATGCAAGTTCTTCTTCCAACTGCTGACTTCCATAGATGCCACCGACAATGTGGTGAGATTTTGGTTGATACCAACTCCTAGCCTGATGATATTAGTTTATTTTCATAATGAAGAATCACATAACCTCCTCTCTGAAACATTTCAAAATTTAGTGATTGTCATATAAGTCTATAAACATAAAAGTACGTATATTTTTTGAGCAGAGAATTTTAAAGAATCCACAGAGTGATGTGTTATATTTCTCCAAGGTCACACTCAAAAAAAAAAAAAACCCATAATTTATTAAAAAATGCATGTCTTATTCTCTCCCACACTCATTCCCAAAGGAGGTTAGAAAAGCAAGGAATTAGGAGTTTGATGATTTTGCAGCGTAGATAAACTTAACCACTTATTAACTGACTGATTGAAAAGAGTCTGAACTTCAGTATTCTTGTTTTTAAGATCATCATCACTATCATCATCATAATGATTATTATTATGGCAACTTTGTGAAAATGATATGTTACATGCTTTTGAAATTGTGAAGTCTAAATGAAAAGTTAGTTTCTGCTATCTATGGGGAAAGACTATATATTCACCAAAACATGTGGAAAGGGTTGGTCTTTTGTATTGGTTGTCGTTAATGTGGGATATAGAGAGAGATTCTAGAAATATCAAGAAGAGAAGGCAGTTAGTTTGAACAACTTACTTCTCAGTAGTTTTCTCTTTTCAATGATGTCCCCAAAATGTTCTCATTTCTTGAGCATTCTTCACTATGCTTCAGAAACAGGAAGATACTGCTGTCAAAGATCTGCCATATTTTGTCTCTTCCAACATCCTTTCCTTGGTCATCAGACACATTTTCCTGGCAAGCGGTCCATTATTCAGAGGTTCCTTTACAGTTTCCTTCAACTTCTGCTCACCTGCAGGTTAAATGCTTTACTTCAGGATACAGGGAGAGCTTTGAAGAATGAGAAATTGGAGTCAGTTGTGAATAATATTCTAAAATTGAATCAACAAAAAATAAGCTTTGACAATATCATCTCCATCATGGTTGATTGGTAATGATTAAGCACTTTCTCACACTATTGTTAAAAATACTGGAGTCCTGGATTTCTAAATTAATAAACCCCTTATTAGCTACATAACATTCCTTTAAAGACATATTTCTGACAGAGACCCATTGTATGAACATATATTGATCACATTCTTAAATGGATCACACTATCTTTCTATCCATAGCAGGATTATCTATGCCTCTGTAACTCAGGAGTGCCATGAGGGCTCCTTTGACTAATTGAGAGGAAGAGGAAAGACAAAGGGACAAGAGATAAGAAGAGATGATGCTTGAAAGAAAGATGGCCCTAAGTTTGCAAAGGAGAAAGTGGAGATAGCATGTTATTTAAGGAACTTGTCTTCTTAAGTTTATCTACATAGCCAAAAATCTGTATGAAAACAAGTCTTTGGATTGAATTGGATATCATATAGGCAAGACAATTAGATGTCTTAAAATCTTCATTTTCCTCAAGATGTTATAGGGACAAACAGCTAGCAATCCTGCTCTCCTAATAAGCAATCTGAATCATCTCTGAGGGGGTAGGTCAAAGACACTTTGGAAATGCTGATGAAGATTCCTCTTCTAAGATAAAAACCAATGCGAAGATGTATCTGACAATTACAGGCATTTCATGGATTACCTGAACTCTCTATTACAAATATCTGAAGTACCTGTGTACCTCCTGAATCTGCCCATTTTTTAGTTATTTTTCAAATATATAATGGCCATTTTAGCAATGGAGAATCTCCTGACATGGGAAGCAATATATCATAAATAATGTGTGTTATTTTTATAATCAGTGCTATTGATTAATGCTGTAGTCATGTGTGATAATTGTACCTTTTGTTTCCAAATCTTTTTAGCCCTGAATGGACAGGAGAAGACAAAAACATCACCCTCTGATTAATCTTTGCAATATTGTCAGGTTAGTTAAAAATAAAACTGTTTACTGGGACAGCTTCCCCAACTCTTTGTTCTCTAGAAAGAATCTCTTTCTATCCTTCTGTTTATTTAACTGTGAGTAGTCACTGCAACAAACTGTTTCTGAGAAAAGAAAACAAATAAGATCAGCTTGGGAGAACAATTCCAATGAGCTCCTAGGTAAAGGGGCAGCCAAAATACATAGTTAACTCCTTTTAGTGGAAAATGGGTCAGGACTAAAGCTCTTCCATGAAATATAAATGCCATGCAAATGAAACTTTGCCTTTATTTTAAGTACAGTATTCTATTACTTTTGAATAATGATGAAAGATTTAACATGTCAGTGCTCCTTCCCCATTTTACTGAGGAGAATTAAGATACACCAAAACTCATAAACTGCATTGAAAAAAGCACATAAAGATCTTTCAAAATTTATTAAACATTTTTATTTAATCAACTGTGTAAAAGAAAATATTATCTTATTCTGAAGTAAGTGCATAAATTCTCTTGTTTATAACTTTTAAAAGTATTTATTAGTTTTAATAAAGTCAAAAACATCTTACAGCCAAGTTAAACTTCAGAAATTAATTTCAAATAACTGAAAATTATAAAACAGCATATTTTGGCTTTCTTGGTTATATCCTAAAGTAAATTGCAGTATTAAAAATATCTGGGTTGAGGGATTTACTCATTCCACAAAGCCTCTTCAGATAATTTCCCAAAGAATCAAAAAGGAAGATAATTATATAGGGGTAAATTATATATGTGGGAATATTGTATAATTGTGCTTTAAATTATAGTTTTCAAGGTGGCTGCTTTCTATAAGAAAATAGCTCACAAAACCTAATATTTAAAAGGGACTGGTCTGCATTTGTACAGTGAATGTTTCATTTTCAAAATTACATATGTATAAAAATCATATGTCCCTGCTGGTGCAAGACCAGTAAACTTTCACATGTTCTGTAAAAACTTAAATGCTGGAGGCCAATGCTCACAAAATTTAATGATCTTTCTGCTAATAAAAGCCAACTTCTTTTTTTAAAAAAGAAAGAAAAGAAGCAAAACATACACATGCATCCTAAGTGTAGTATTTTCCAATTTTTTCAAAAGGAAAATATGTGAAATCACCTTTTTTATGTTTTTTTTATTTGCTCGTGTTTGCTAAAATCAATTCTTTCCACAGGGAGAAATGGAGATGTGAAATAAATGCTGAAACACGGGATCCATCTTTTCATACCCCGCTTGGAAGGAAGCCAGTTCCTTTAGAAAATGACCATAAGGTAAAATAAGAACAGAGCTAGATTTTAATGTTTATAATCAAAGAAGGGGGGCAACAAAAACCCAAAACAATGCACTTTCTTTTAAATATGTTTATGCCACTAAACCTAGGGATTGTATATAACTGGTGCTTGATCAGTGCCATGGTGACAGACAGAAGAGATGTATGCTGTTTCTCTTCCATTTTTTGTAACTTGGCATAACTTCTCTTAGACTAAATATTTCTTCTGGGTGGAAGGATTCCCTGACTGACTTCCAATTCAAAATAAACCCCAATTCAGTTTGCTCTGTATAGCAGTATGTTTAAGTGGCAATGGACCATCAGGTGAAGCATTTTCTATAGAAAACACATTTAATATTCTCTCTTAGGGCTTCAGAAGCATTTCCACCAGCAGGGCCACAAGAGAGACTGATGATGAAGGCAGCGGGGAAAGCACAGATTAGTAATCTTGACAACCACGAACTCTGAAATTCTTTAGTATTGTTTAAAAAGATAAAATCATGCATCTCATACAAAATTGAAATGAACTCATACCAAAGATATTTTAAATTTATTAATTCATAAGGGAACAAGTAGCCATTGACATAAGTTAAAGATTCGATGAACCACATCAATACAGGCAATAAGAAATGCTGAGATGAATTGAGGTAGAAATGCAAAGGGTCTGTCCATAGGGCAGTGATCAATTACATTCCACCAGACACAATTCATTTTTTTAAAGGAAAATATGAGAAATCACTTATAAGAATCATTTTATCAATTTCTATAATTTGCAGAATTACTAAAAAGCTTTAAAACAATCAAAGAAGATAACCACAGGGATGCATTAGGCAGGACACTCTGGATATTCTATTTCAAAGTGTTTCACAAGTTTTCCTGACAATATGAATAAAATCAGAATCCTTTTTGGTTGATTAGAATGTTAACTGCGCAGAAAATACTGAATTTCTGATAGCAATACCCCCACTGCCTTTTAAGAAAGTCTACACCAGGGCTGTCCAGTAGAAATATAATGCCAGCCACAAATGTAGCTACACATATGTCATTTTAAATGTGCTGGTAGCCACTGCAGGGGAGGGTCATCCCATGCTACATTAAGAAAGCTAACAAAAAGAGAGTTACAATTAATTTTAGTGAAGTATTATATAAACATATGCAACATATAATTTCAACATGTGAGCCTATGAAAGAATTATGAATAAGCTATTTTATATTCTTCTTGTTGTTCTAAGTCTTTAAAAGCAGGATGTGTTTACACTCACCGCACATTTCAATAAGACCCTCTCCTCCCTCCAAAAGACTCCTAATTTTAATTCAAATGCATTCTTAGCCACGTGTGACCAGTGGCTACCAGACAGTACAGGAGCCATATAAACCAAACACTCATGAGCAAGCAAAGTTTTGCAGCTTTTAGAATATTAATTAAGACATTAAGTCTGGGGCCTCCCCTGGTGGCGCAGGCGGTTGAGCACAGCGCTGTGAAGCTGTCCACAGCCTCTGCAGCACCGGTTCGATCCCTGCCAGCTGGTGAGTGTCCCACATGGTGCCCCATGTCTCGACAGGAGACCTCTCCTGTCTCGCCCGCTGCTCCCCTCAGCAGTGTATTTCATCAGTCTGCCTGTTCTGCTTCCCGCTCTGTCTTTGGTGAATCCTCTGGCCCCCCACACCTCTGGCCTGTACCCAATTTCTTGTATAAATAAATAAATAAATAAATAAATCTTTTTTAAAAAAAAAGACATTTAGGTCTGTCTCAGCCCTTCCCTGTCCATACCATTATTTTCAAGATAGGTTCTCAGATTTCCTCATTTTTAAATGAAACATGATCGATGCTCAGGGAAACTATAATTCGAAATGATTGTGTGGTGTGGCCCCATGAATTTTCTCATTAGCAGTGTACTGTCGTCTCTTCCCAGGGAGACCATCCTAATCCCTTGTGAAGGCGACCGAGACGAGCACGCAGGGACGTAGCTATAACAATAATAATAAACATAATATTGCTTTGCCTGTCACCTGAGTGTGACAGAGCCCATCAAAAACATTAACTGTTTTATTTTCACATCATCCCTGTTAAGCAAAGGGAAGAGGGGACATTTCTTATTATTCCCCTTTCGCTGCAAAAAGATGAGACCATTTTCTGTTAAGCAAGGGAGTAACTGAGGTATAGCTACCTCAGCGCTGCTCTATCACATAGGTCTCAGCGGGGCATCAGCAGAGCCAGTGCATTCACAATTCCGCCTCCCAAAAGGAGAAAGGCCCCTCCCCACAGGGACCTCTGAGAAAAGGATGACATTCCCATGGTCAGACAACCAGCCCACTGGGATGCCCGATAAAAATTTTATTTCAGATAGTTCTGGAACACTTGGAATTTTTCTTTCCTAGTAGAGCACTGGTGTTTTAAGTAATCTGAGTTAGGAGAATAAGCCGTAGAAGGGCGTGTGCATGTGTGAGAAATAGTGAAAGGCTGGTCCTGAGACCTCACACCTTCCCTCTATTTTCTTAGCTCCCCAGGGACTAAATTCAATGCCTCAGGGACCAATGTCCTACAGATTGCCTTTTGACTCCCTCACCCATCCCTCATACCCTCTCTTGAACTTTCAATAGACCACGCAAGTCATTCTGCCCCCACCCACCCAATCAGCCTTTCGGACTGTGGTAGCGCCGTAGGCCGTCATCACCTCCTCGGCATGAATGGTGCTTTTACCACCTGCGTGACAGTCATCCCATTCAGCTGGCAGCGCTCATCTGTATTTAACATTAGCTGCTCAATAATAACCTATTGAAGGACTAGCCCTATAATGTTTGTGTAAGGAGGGGAGCAGTTAAGAAAAGACGACATGTGCTAAATTCAAGAAGGGGGGATATTTCTTTCCTACTATAAACAGAAATGATTATAAAACCAGAACCCAGAAAGAGCTCCTCACCCTTCACTATGGTATGGGGGGAGGGTGGGCGAAGGGGGAGGTTATTTCTCTGCAAGGCCTACTCTTTGAGTGCTGACTTCTCCAGGTTTTTACTACATCCCAGGGAGGGAGATAGAAACCAAAGCAAACAAAGTGCCCCCAGAGGACCCTCTCCTCCCTCCAAAAGTCTTCTAATTTTAATTCTCTGCAGCTTTTAAAACAGTTCAATGTGGAGGTTTCAGCAGTGTGTGGTGGAAGAGAATTCCTGCTCTCTCTAAGGACGCCCACTTTAGATAATCCCAGCTGGCAACAGGACACCAGGGCCAGGACTGGGTGAGGGGATTTCCTTAGCAGTTTCTTTTCAGCACATTCTGTCATCACAAAGTAACTTTTAACAACTGTGTTTTCTTCTCCACAAATGAGTAGAAAGCAGGTTTAAGCTGGTTGCTAACTGCATGCAAAGTATCTGCTTTTCCCCCTGAGCTTCTGGTCTGATGCTAAAAACACAATTTCCTAGTGCTTGGTGCTTTATGTGGAGACTTACCTTTAAAGCAGGGACCCCAGACTCTCTGAGGGAGTTCTTACACTGCCCCCCCCCCCAACACTTCCACCCTTCAAGGCGGGTGGCGGTCGGCAAGCCCATCTTCTTCAGGTGGGGACTTAGTTCGGACCTGTAGAAAATGCCAAGTGTTTTCCCAAGAGTGGAGGGAGAATGTCCGCAGCAAAGTAGGCATTCCTTGTGTGACTCTGTCCAGTTTGTAGCCTCAGGGCCGCTTTCTCCCAGGCACACGTTACAGAGCGTCACCCTGTAGGCAGCAGATGTGCATTTGTTGTCCCACCGTCAAGTCATTCTTTAGCCTGCCATTTCTTGAACCGCTGCCATAAACCATCATCTCCACTCCCCAAAGTCAGCTCTGCCCCCACCTAGATCCCCTGAGGTTGAAACAGCCTGAGGTTGAGCACACCTGTATGCAGGACCTTAAAGAGCAGAATTTCCTGGGATTTCCACAGTTACATCCCAGGTTGCCTTTGTATAGTTGCTTGTGCAACCGCAGGGCTCACTTTCAGAAAGACAATGGCCTTGGAAAGCACCGGACCCAAATAACCTCCCAGGGTTCTTAAGGACAGGACTAGGAGCTTGGGAAGGAAGCACCAAATGAACTGCCTGCATGGAGATGATGAGAAGGACACCAAAAGCATGGAGAGTTAGGCAGCCCAACTTCAAAATTAATTCTGCCTCCTAACGGTATAATCATTAAACCCAAAATTTAAATCTTTGGCCAAAATACCCTATTTCTTAGTGCAGAGTTGTTACTTGGCAGATTGTTGCATATAAATGTGTCCTGCGCTTTCCTCTTCTCTCTAATATTCAGAACTTAACCAAAGTCCATTTTATATGAAATTAGGAACAAGGCAGTAGAAACCAAAAGAATTAGTGTGTCTGGGCCTCTCTTTTGTCCATTATTTCGTATCAATTTTGAAGCCAATAATGCTTAATAGTAATCCAGTCATGAACTTGCTGCAGCAACTGGGGGAGATTTGGAGCATATGTTTTCAATTCATTACACTTGACTCATCAAAATTGGTTGCTGTTTTTAAAGAGCTATTTGATGTGTGAGGAACTGTTTCTACCTTTTTAAAGTAAAGCTTTAGAGGCTTTCTCTGTTCACAATGGGAAGCTGCAGAATGCTAAGAGAATAGGAACTCAAATGCAGGAAGCTTCAGGGATGGTTCAAAACTTCAGAGCCATGAATTTAGAGAGGGTTCAAAAGTTGGTAAAGTGAACCCTCTCATCCCTACCCACAAATAATAAATAACAAGCACAACATGGAAAAGGAGAAAGGGGAAAGCCATAACTTATCCTGACTCCAACTGTACAGCTCTCTCCAATAAAGCAGTTCTTCGGAGAACTTAGGTTCTGCTGCCTGCAGGGAGCTGAGCTCGTCCTCTGTCGTAAATTACCTTGCTTGGGATAAGCTTTCCTCCAGGTCCAACAGACAGGCAGCTCTGCAAGACCCATCACCTTGCTCTGTGCTTCTTAAATTATCCTTCATCTGGTTGTGACATCTAAAAAGTTAGAGGGAGAATGATCATCCCCAAA